ATTTAATTATCCAAAATGAAATAAAAACTCGATAAAATTGTATCAATATGATTTAGTGAATTTTAAAAAAATTGCACCAAGTTTCAATGAAAAATTGAAAATAACGGCAATTAAAAATAGTATAACGTTTTAGTTTTTAATAACTTTAAAAAAGGTACAACCTGAAAAAATATATCTCAGGGAAAATCTGACCGTAGCATATGCTACGGTTGCAACGGTCTGAATCCGCCCCTGATACCACATATTGTACTCACTTTAACAAGAACTTTCTTTTTATCCATTGGTTTCACAACTTCTCCCACATACGATCCTTGTTCTTGCAATAACTGTAATTCCTCTCGTAACATACGCACTGGATGAAATATGAAAATTATTTTAAACTATATTAAAGCAATATATCTTAATTAAAGTAATGTTGTGATGTGGCAATAAAAGATTACCTTTAGCATTTAATTCATTTCTCTGAGCTTCAAGTCTTCGAAGGTTTTTAACCTTTTCTGTAACTGTCAGCTAAAAATACATGGACTTTCAAGTTATAATTAAATACCAATTCTTACAATCTCTAACAGTATTTATTTCATATTGATACCAAACATTTAGCCATTATTATACAAAATATGTTTATTTCAAATGTACTGTTGACTCAATAGTAGCAGAATGCTTTCCAAAAAAGTTAAAAATGTTTTTATATGAAGTACATACTGGTACGGGTAAAGCTGTTTCAAATCTTAAATATACACTAATCAAAGTATTAATCTCACCTGAAGTTCTTCAATTTTTGTCACATAATATTGCTGTATACCCTCATGACTTTTGTCAATCTCAATCTCCATCTGAAATAAATGAAATCAACATCAGTGGCGTAGCCAGAACGATAATTGGGGGGGGGGGGTCCATATTCATATATTCGTGTTCACATACCATAAAAAGAAATTAATAAAGCAGAACACGTATATATGAATATGTGCCCCCCCCCCAATTATCGTTCTGGCTACGCCACTGATCAACATACATCTGTAACATGTATCTCATGTATTATCTCATTGAGAACCAGTGTTTGGCGTTAGACAGGGCAAAATAATAAAGACAAGCAGAGTGCATAGGTCATAATGCAACTTAATGGATTACTCATCAGGCATACAGTGATTGCAAAGTGGTAAAAAACTATGCAACACTGACAAAACTAAATAAATATTTATGCAGAACAAATTTTAAAAACAAATATTTGTTTTCTATAATAATTAGTCAAAATGTTGGGAATCAGCTGTCACAAAAATATTGATTGTTTCAATACTGCTGAGCTGCAAGCCTGAAAATAAGCCTCCGGTCACGGACATTGTCAGGTACAAAAAGGCAGCATATTAATACAACTATTAGCCTGCGAACAGGCTCTTTGGATTAAAGAGTTCAAAGAGAGCCTGTTCGCAGGCTATAACTATTGGTGAAACTGTCTACAACTGGCATTAAAAATTTCATTTATATTTCAAAATATTTGTATTCCACATCTAAAAATTATGTGTATGTCCAAATTTCATCGCGTACAAATATTAAGACAACATGCCTGTGAAAATGCTGTGAAATTTATGATTGTTCGATTCTGTATGATATACATTGGCTTCTTTTATTTCAAGGAGCACGAAAAACTATATTAATTTTGCTCTATTGTGTTAATATTTTTTGTCAGGCACAAAATGTCCAGTTACCTGACACTTTGTCAGGCAGAGTTGGAAATTTATTTTCCTGAATGCTTGCTGAGCTGCCTGCAACCTTTTGCCTGTTGGTCAGTGGCAACTACGAAGTAAGAATGGAACATGGCACTGGTGTTGAAAGACAAATGAAAGCTTAGTTATTACCAAAGTTCAATCTCCTCAATCCTTGCTCATTAATGTTTGTTATTACTGTTAGTGCAGTAAATTAAAAAAAAAAGTGAACTTTGTTGTAAGTAAAACATAATTTTAAAAATCAGGTAATTCAACCCCTACACCCCTACACCCTCCTCCATCCCAATAACACAGTCTTTGCTATGTCCTTGTTTCTACTGAACTTTGTTCTAATTAATGCTCTATGTGACTATGTTACCCACTGAATTCAATTGTCAAGTATTCTGAAATGAAATAAATTGACGCAAGTTGCTAAAAAGGTGGTTTATTAAGACCTTAGTTTACATTTTATCCAAAATTCAATTTTATTTACAGGGAGAGCAATGTCCTCGGGACCCCTCTAGAATTGTGACTCACAAATTATTAAGTTGCCCCCTCCCCCCTCCCATATATACTGTAACATCCTAGCGGTACCACTGTGTTACAGCTCTATACAGATACTTGAGGTGTAAAGCTGTGATGAGCAAGTTTTCCTGAATGTTGACAGTTTTCTCTTCACAAGTTAAATTGATGAATGTGTGTACTACTGTATCAACAACTTTGAATTGACTGCCTTTCACAAATTTTACTTGATGTAGAGACATGAAATGCTGGATTTAAACGACCTTAAGACGTAATAAAGATGGCGGTGAACTCAATGTTTCTGGATCAATGTTTCATGTTTGATTGTTATAAATGTATGGACATTTCAGAATCAGGGGTGAATGTTTGTTCATTATCTGAAGGATTTTAAGGCAAACAGAAAGGGGTAACGGTTCAAAGATTTGGATTCTTGCACTTCACTTGGTGGAATTAATATTAGAATGTTAGGGTTTGTAATCCAAGCGAGTATATATACATTTTAAGACCTAACCAGGAAAGACTGCAAAAAATGCAGCACAAGGTCCTCTGGTAGGAATTGAACCTACGGCCCTGCGATTCCGGTGCAGCGCTCTAACCAACTGAGCTACAGAGACCAGCTGTTGAGCTGTAACCATAAGTTCATGTATATATAGGTAACCGGGTGTGCACCGGAATGGCAGGGTCGTAGGTTCAATTCCTACCAGAGGACCTTGTGCTGCATTTTTCACAGTCGTTCCTGGTCAGGTCTTAAAATGTATATATACTCACTTGGATTACAAACCCTAACATTCTAATATTAATTCCACCAAGTGAAGTGCAAGAATCCAAATCTTTGAAGTCCACCTTATCACAACCTGCAGCGCTCTAACTTGCCTGAAATTCTTGATCCATTATTGGCGTACGCGAAGCTAATTTCGGCGTACAATTGTACATCTGTGTGTTTATTTTTTAAGCTCTGTCTGTGTGCCATGGGGGAGGTGCGTCCAGATGTTTTCTGGAATGCATGGCCCATTGCCAAGAAAAACACTGTGCACAACATTTTGTCACACACACAAGCTAATATAACATATCAAGAAATAGCTTTACATTTTACTTTCTAAAAATGTCTATATAGATCAATATCATTAATTGGTATTATTTTTACAACCAATATCAAATATTCTTTCAATACCACAGCAGGCTTAGAGCCTCATTATGTTAAAGCAGTGATAATGGTATTAAAAGCAAAACAAAGATTTCCTACTTGTTGCTTTACCACTTGGTCCACTTTGGTGTTATTTTTATTGAATAACAGAATAAAATCAATAAATGCCAACTTTAGTTGCTATGTTGGAATTAATGACAGTATATATTTTCTAAACATATTCTAAATATAAAAGCAATATTTAAAGTACAAAATGTTAAAGAAGAGGACAAAAAAGGGCATTATATGACGTAACAGAGAAAATTTTAACTCATATGTAGTAGTCAGTAGTGGTCGTCCCACATGGAAAATTAATCAAGAAAGTTCTATAAATAAATTTTCTATAAAAAATCAGTTATAGCATTTTTAAGTAGTTAAAATAGAAAAGTAATAAAGTTAGAAAAAATATTTTAATTTAATATATATCTAACTTTATACACAGACGTAGTAGAGTTACCCGTCTTGACATATAAAAATCAAGAAGCGGTGACAAAACAAGTACATAAACTATGCTGGCTTTTATTGTGCATTTGTAGTCACCATACATCGTTATTTTGTACATTATCGATAGCACAAATACATACCTTGACTGCTTTGTTGCTTCTAGCTTTGTGTAGATCGTCATTTTTCAAGATATTTCTGTTTTCGTTGTTAAAAGATGAAATAACTGAAAGGCCAGCAGCCGCCATGTTGGAGCAACTTAATCACTCCCAACATGCATCACGCTCTCATTAAGATTGCGCAATATAATTGCATGCACGTGAACTTGAGAAAAAAATGCAAATTTTTTATATCGGCCCACGAGAAAAATCCGTTTTTGCTTTTGAGTGCGTGACACTATCATGAGACTAACACTTGCAGTAATGGGTGCATTATAGCCTGCGAAAACAGCCGCTACTTTGCTGCTGCTATTAAAACGTCACACAAAGTGACGTCACCATAGAAATAATAGACATAGAATGCGTGCTCCTATCTTTTCTCAGTAAAAAATTTGTCTCCACAAATGGCGCATTGAAAAGGGCATTTTGGTTGGTCCCAGACTCCTGAGGCAGGGAATTTCGCGCGGTTGCGGGAGTGCGAATTATTTTTTCAACTGAAAAGTTTGCAAAAAAGTTTATATCGGGACTTAAAATGGAAAAAAGTTTGGTAAACTAAGGAAAAGTGTCTAAAAACCCATTCCAGTGGGTTTTTTTTACGAAAAGCAATAGTTCTGAACCGGAATATATGCAGAAATCGTCGTTTAAAAATAAATTTTCAACGTTATGTTGTTGTGCAAGCCAAAACAAAACACAAAAGATCAAGACAAACTCAATAGGTATGTTCTACAAATATTTCAACTCTTTTACAATATAAATGGAGTTCAATAATCTTTTTAAACTTACACAATTATATTTCATATTTTTCTACGTTGCTTGAGCTTGAGGCAACGCTTTTGAAATCATGGTTTCGACGATTATTTTTCGGCAATTTACAGTTTATGGACAACTATAAAATGTTTCAAGAACATGAAAACACTTCGTTTACATTGCAGAAAAACGAAACCCGACGAAGAAAGAACTATCATTTTGTAATCTTATACGATATTAGCAAAACAGTTACGTTCAGAGCATGCAAAAATGTTTTATGAGTAATTTATATTTTCGGGAATCTACTTTGCTTTTAAAAGGCTGCACGATTTTCACTGTTTTCACAGTGTTTTGTAACTGCACATTTGCTTTGACAGTTTGTGCCTTCAAGGAACTCAAAATCTATCCCCAAACTACAAATTAGACAACAAGACAAAACGTTTTGATGATGAAAACGTAGTTTTAGCTTTGTTTATACCAAGCCACAGATGAGGTAGATACAGATGTGAATCTTCCGTCAAATTGCTGATTGTTTTGTGTCACACGGAATTCTCACTTCCGGCGAGCGCTGGCAAGTGTCGTTCTGAAATTTAATAAGGAAAGAGATAGGAAAACGCCGTTCGAAAGACGAAAAATTGTTTTTTTAAAAAGTCTACGCTACCGACGGCTATTTTTGGAATTAATTCTTCAAGAGTAACGGTAAGCGATCACTTTTATTGATTTCTTTTTATTAAAAGTGTTAATATAACATTTTATTTAGCAAAAGTTTGTTTTTTTCCCTATCTACTTCTTATTAAAATCGTGAAATACACTTGCTGGGAATTTCAGATGCTCATGTATAATAACAAAACAGCGAATGATATAAATTCCTCAAAACATGACTCTGGCATAAAAAAACATGAATACTTCTATAATATGTATAGTTTTATTTCTCTGCTTTATCAAAATTTAATAAAATAGTGAATTAATACAATTTTAAAGTTTATTTAATCGGTGTGACATAATTTGACGGAAGATTCACATCTGTATCTACCTCATCTGTGACCAAGCCCGGAGCTGGCTCTCAATTTCTGGGGGGGCACTCACTCCAGAAAGAATGTAACCAAACGGTTGAGATGAAAAAAATTTTTTTCCGGAATATTCTGGCGACCCCCCCCCCGTCGCCAAAAAATTTTCGGTCAGTGTACCATTTTAGGGGTCAAAAAAATTTTTCGGACATAACAATTTTTCCAAACATACTCCATTTTTCCGAAATCACAAAATTTTCCACAAAATTTACAGAATTTTTTCCATTATTACAATTGCTTCCCAGGCCCTTTAGCTCAATTTTTCATACCCGACTTCCGAGTGGGGGGGCACTGGGGGGCACTGTCCCACCGAGTGGGGGGGCACTGCCCCCCCAGGCCCCCCCAGCTCCGGGCCTGGTTTATACTGGTTTATACTTTGTAGTTTGCACTCCTGGCCAAAATTCAAAATGGCGCATTCAAAAGGGCACGCACCTGAAAAAGTGGAGACATGATTCGTCATTAGCACGCATTCTATGTCTATTATTTCTATGGACGTCACACAAAGTGACGTTTTAATAGGAGCAGCAACGGTAGCGGCTCACTTACACCTTTTCGATAATTACGTCACAACGTACTACACTGTTTTGATTAAAGTGCTTATGACACGAAATTTCACCCCAAATGTTTATGTTGCATTGTAAAGATCACTTAAAATGACTTAATAATTTCTTTTATAGAATTTTGGTAACTTCCTTCCTTTTCAAGATATTCAACTTCGTTTCATATGCAAATATCACCGGTGTGACATTACATCACATAATGAGTTTTCAGAAAAGTATAGTTTTCTTGACGAATACGCATCTAAAAAACGTAAAAATTGGCCTTGTATATGTATTCATTTCACAACTGGTAATGAACCCTCTGTATTTGTTTGTAAAAATATTTTATGAAGGTAAAATATTGCGTTTTCAAAATGTCATTATGCGATGTGATGTGATCCAAATAACTTTTAATATCTTAGAAATTCCTATCTCTAAAAATCGTTTCGTGTCCTTAGCTTAAAGCTAAGCCATTATGCTTTAACGTTGTCCTCAACAGATACCCATGTGTGATGTGTCTGGCATGACTGCATTAGCACATTATTATTTTTACGCTTTCCTTCAAACTTTTAGCTCTTGGCCGCAATGACGAATTTCGACACAAATAAATTATGCAAACTAACTATAAATACTGACAAACACTTTTAGGATCTTGGTTTTAGAAGAAGCTTCACGATTTCCGAGCTTATAGCGATAAAGTAAACTATGTGTTCGAGGGGGCCAAATTTCCGAAGGGGGGGGCCAAATTTCCTAGGAAATATGGCCCCCAGGTGGGCCAAATTTCCTAGGAAATTTGGCCCGGGGGGACCAAATTTTGGGGGGGGGCAAATTTCCTGGGACACCGGCGAAATTTGCATATGGAACAAAGTTGAATATCTTACAAAGGAAGCAAGTTACCAAAATTCTATAAAAGAAATTATTAAAGGGGAAGTCAAGTCCGTTCTGCGCATCGGTTCTGCGCATAACAATAGAGGGCCCTCTGAGGTAAACATTGCCCAAATTTTGAATGTTTCGAATTTTTCTGAACACAAACTCTATTTCATATTCATGTAGAAGCATAACGAACCAAAATGGTGTTAGATATTCAGACAGTACATCATATTTTAAAAAATACAGCAGTTCAAAATGTAAACAAACCGTTTGTTTACATTACGGACTTGACTTCCCCTTTAAGTCATTTTAAGTGATCTTTACAATGCAATCATAAACATTTGGGGGTGAAATTTCGTGTCATAGGCACTTTAAATGGAAAGGATTTCAAGTTGTTTTTTTCTCATGGGCTATGATGTACGGCACCATACGTTCTCTGAAATCTACATAGCAGAAAGTTTTATATTTGACTTACACAGGAAATTTTTATTTTTGGATTTTGATGCCAGCAAGAGAAATATAGTTTCTAGGCATGGATTATCAGACACATTTATTCTACCCTATTAACTAATCAAATGCGCATTAAGTCTGTGAGAAGTAGCGATAAAAATTTATAAAATGTGGTAGTGGTCTAGTGGAAGTTAAATCTGAAGCCTGCTGATCTAATTTTAGAACTTATAACTGCGTTGCTGAATGCTTCAAAACCTCAAAGTCAAAGCCTCAGATAGATAAACCACGTCATAGTCATACTCAGACTTATAAAATTTTTCATTTCCTTTTTAGCTTTAATTTAACACCCTTTCGATAATTACGTCACAACTACACTGTTTTCAACTTAGGACCATGATATTAACGTCAATCTCGGCATAAGATAATATCGACTTGCAAACAACAAGTAAATTATACGACATTCCAGTATATAGGATGACAAAAATTTCCTGCATGAGGATCAAGACGAAGATTTCCTGCGAACAGGGGCGTAGGAAGCATCAAAAGATTGTGGGGAGGGGGGGGGGCACCGCTTCGAGGAGCACTGTTGGAATGAAAAGGCCACCTAAAAAAATTTCCCCAGAAATTTTGGCGACGGGGGTGAGGGATGGGGAGAAGGAAAAAAATTCCAGTCATATCCTACTTTATGCTTAAAGTGCCTATGACACGAAATTTCACCCAAATGTTTATGTTGCATTGTAAAGATCACTTAATTAAAATGACTTAATAATTTCTTTTATAGAATTTTGGTAACTTGCTTCCTTTGTAAGATATTCAACTTTGTTCCATATGCAAATATCACCGGTGTGACATCACATCGCATGACATTTTGAAAACGCAATATTTTACCTTCACAAAAAATATTTTTACAAACAATACAGAGGGTTAATTACCAGTTATGAAATGAATACATATATACAAGGGCAATTTTTACGTTTTTTAGATGCGTATTCGTCAAGAAAACTATACTTTTCTGAAAACTCATTATGTGATGTGATGTCACACCGGTGATATTTGCATATGAAACAAAGTTGAATATCTGGAAAAGGAAGCAAGTTACCAAAATTCTATAAAAGAAATTATTAAGTCATTTTAAGTGATCTTTACAATGCAACCATAAACCTTTGGGGTGAAATTTCGTGTCATAGGCACTTTAATATAATACATACATTTCAAATTGCAACGTATACATAATCAGCGGTTTTTGACCAAATTTGTTTTAATTAAAAACATCGAAATTTCCTATAATTTTTTTCATTGGATTTACTTACATGACGCAGATTAGTATTAACAACATAACTAGCTTGTGTAAAAGGGCACAAGTAAATGTGTTCAGGAAACAAAAAGGGCACCTTTGATGTTAATATAGTATTTACAGCAACATTAGCTTGTACAATTTTCAATTTTTGCCACCGGAAAGAGGGCACTTTTTATGTCTTCTGAAAACTTGGGCCTTGGGCTTGCCCCCCTCCCCCCGGTTCCTACGCCCCTGCCTGCGAAGATATTTTGTTAACAATTTCCTGGCAGCGGTGCTACCGGACATTTTCCAGCACTGTGACAATCTCTGATTGGTTAATGGTGGCGGTATAGTAGCACAATGCGCACGGCACTTGGTACATACAACTTGTTAAAATGCAACATTATGGCATTATCTGTTTTTAGACAATAAATTCTCACACACTTTATCTTTTTATTAAAATATATTGTCTAGATCATATATGATATGCATGTGTTTAAATAACGTCAGTTCTATCCTTCACTTCTATCACGTATAAGTGCTTCAGCGTTAAATATTAGCTAAGTACGCAGTATGCTACCTTGCATGTACATAGATATCTTAGGCCACATAAAAAAAATTACTTGTTTAGCGTCCCCGCCCGACCTGATAAAAGTCCCCGACCTCCAACTTTTTTTTTTTTTTTTTTTTAAATCCGTCCGAGTTTAGTGCAAAAACTCTCTATAAAAAAGACCGTTTTACTTGAAAAAATGGTGATTTTATTCTTCTGGGAGCTATGTAATACGTTTACTCCTTCCTCGCAGCTAAAGTGTTCGCGCGTGACCGCCAAACGGTAATCATTTCTGTTTTATTAAAAACATGAACGGTATTAAAAAACATGAACGGATTTTGAAAGAATTAAAGTGAGTTTTGACTGTGGTAATATACTGGATTTCCTGCATTTAGCAGAATTTTGTGTTGCATTTTACGAAAAAAAAGAAAAAAATCCGCCCGCCCGACCTAGTAAAATTAAAATGGGTGGACGCTAAACAAGTAATTTTTTTATGTGGCCTTATATACACTAGATATAGTGCACCTAATTATTCTGCAATTCAAAAATTGAAGCCGTGATTGCAGACTCAGGATATTCCCATGAAATGAGAAGACTCGTATATTTTCTATTTCTTAAACAGGGAACTTAAACATTAAGGCCCTGTTTACACTATACCGGATTCGCTCGTCACGACAACTTCTTTTGCCGTTAAGGAGCAATGGTTAGTAGCAAATGCTCAGTATTAGTTTGACAGAATTGGCATGTTTATTTGGGTCTCTGAGAGTAAAAATCTTCACAGCCTTTCGATACCTACAAAATTTGACCCACTCCGATAGCAATCCGGTATAGTGTAAACGGGGCCTAAGTTAAACCTATTCCAAATACATTTTCAAACTATTCAAATGATGAAAGTTATTGTTGTTTTTTAAACGTTTATTAGCGAGTGGGAAGCTCCAATATGGCCGCCATCTATTCAAATGGGGGTCACCGCTGGAATATTCTTAGCTTCAATTTTACTAAAAGAGATGCGCTATCTAGTGTATATAAGATATCTATGTGCATGTATCACTAAGTGACTTAAAGAAATGATCCAGATAGATTGCTGGGATCTTTAACATTCCGATATTTGTATGCCACATAAACACCAAAGATCTGTAAGATAAACATAACATGAATTAGAATGTTACGTGCTGTGAACGTTAAGGCCATATTACATTTTCTTGCAACTTATTACGGATTCTGGTACAGAGCAATGCTATATTATACAGTGTGTATAAAAAAACTGAAAAGATTTGAAACTGCTCTCAATTTCGCAAAACAGCTATTAGTATCCAGTTTTTGATACATATGGCTTCTTTGGGTACTTATAATGTTGAATAATGAAAAAAATTTCTGGAACACAAATTTTGTAAACTGGGGGGGGGGGTGGGGTGTATTTTCCGACAAACTAAAAATGGCTTGCGCACGAAATTTAAAAGCTATAATCGTATTTTGAGTTAATGGATGAAAAATGTGTTGGGTGTTTAATTGCTGCACGAAATTTCAGACAATTTGCTTCAGTTTACGCCATTCAACTATTCACGCAAACTTACATTTTTCCTAAAAAATCAGCAATTTGCATGCTTAATTAATGCATTTGCCCAATTTGCATATGTCAGCAATGTGCAAATTAGGTAAAGGCATGAATTAAGCATGCGAAAGGCTGTTTTTTTTAGGAAAAAATGGTAGTTAAAGGATTTAAACTAAAGCAAATTGTCTGAAATTTTGTACAGTAATTAAAAACCCAACAAATTTTCCATCTATTAACTCAAAATACGATTAAAGCTTTTAAATTTCGTGCGCAAGCCATTTGTTGGAAAAGACACACCCCCCTGGTTCACAAAATTTGAGTTCAAGAATTATTTTCATTATTCTACCTTATAAGTACCCAAAGAAGTTATATACATAAAAAAAACTAGATACTAATGGCTTTTTTGCGAAATTGAGAGCAATTTCAAATGTGTTCAGTTTTTTTTTTATACACCCTGTAGTGTAGTGTGGTGTGGTGTGGTGTGGTGTGGTGTGGTGTGGTGTAGTGTGGTGTCGTGTCGTGTAGTGTAGTGTAGTGTCGTGTAGTGTAGTGTAGTGTAGTGTAGTGTAGTGTAGTGTAGTGTAGTGTAGTGTAGTGTAGTGTAGTGTAGTGTAGTGTAGTGTAGTGTAGTGTAGTGTAGTGTAGTGTAGTGTAGTGTAGTGTAGTGTAGTGTAGTGTAGTGTAGTGTGGTGTAGTGTAGTGTAGTGCAGCTTCGGTGACACAGTCGTGGCTTCGGTTAATGGCGCAGCCGTCAGTGCAAGAGCCTTTCACCTTTGAGTTCGTGGGTTTGGTTCTCGTTAATCGTCATGGACTAATGTGAAAAGAGTCAGCAAGCCAATGTTATGCTCTGAAAGTCTTGCGTTTTCTCTGGGTGCTCCGGTTTCCTCCAACAGGGAAAGTTGACAAGGTGGGTTAGGATAAACACAGTAAAGAAAGTAATATCACAATTGTTGTAAAGATAAAATAATCTAGGCAGTAAGGTGAGCGTAATACTCGATGTATAAAGCGCATTTGATCACATCCACAAGTAAATTCGAGCTATAGAAATGTTCATCGTCATCGTATACGCATATTGGAGATAAAGATACCGATGTGGGGATACCGACTTGGCGCAAAGCGATGTTGATGGCGTCATGTAGGAGACCAAAGCATTCCAAAAGCATTCGGGAGGTCTAACATTGTGGCACACCCGCCATTTATTTCTCAGAGTGACTGATGATAAAGAAGTTATGTCCAACGGATTATTTTTGCTTGTCAAAAAGGCCGTTTTACGTCAAATCTTGCAAACAGGTTTTAAAAGCAGGACGCGAGGGCAACTGGTTTGAGAGACGACACGCCGGGTGAGGCAGCGGTCAAAGCGTGCAAGAAGGTTTACATTTGCTCCAGAAGAGGAAAGAGCCTGGGAACGAGGTTGGGTTTACATGTGGATCGACTCAGTTTAGATGACGGCATGCCGCAAGGTGGGTGTCGTGGAAAAATGATTTGCAACAGAATGGAGTTGGGTAGAGATTTTGACTTTGCAAACATTTAGCACTGTTTGGAGAAACCATCCGAAGAAAGGTCAATTGAGAAGACGACGGATCAGTGTTAATAGGTCGTTGGTGAGGTTGGGAAAGACCGAAAGAGGGTATGATGGCATAAGATCAACTTGGGTTGGGAGAAGTGTTATGCGTGGGTTGTCTCGAGCATTGGCGTGAGTAGAGAAATAGGGTCAGATTATGTGAAATACGGAGTCTGACCAGGTTGGTCATTGTACTACATGCAGTTGAAGGTTGTGTATCAGTAGGGATAAGATCTGCCTAAACCACGAGCAGTCCCTCGGGAGAAAGGAGGGACTGCCGACAACACAACAAGAAACGAAATACGCGTTGCCCACACAACGCAAAATTCCCATTGGTCAAAATCGATGTGCCTGTCAATCAAATCTGATATGGCGGGAAGGATCTGGCACGGAACAAGACAAGGTTTGAGTCTGAGGAATTAGTGAGGTAGGAGTTCTTTCATAGGAACTTGCGCGCTCGTTCACTTCATGAGCTAGCTAAAAACCCAGTAGTAATGTGCTGAGGCAGCGTTATACAACGACTCGAATACGGCGATGTTCTTGGCGTGCATGTTGAAGTAACTAGATTGCATTTTGACTCTCTTCGAGGGAGGTCTTCTTCGCGGAGAAATACGTAAAAAATATGAATAACGATCGATTTCCTGGATGTTTATATCGTCAAAGAATTGACAAACACAAAGCAGTACAACCTCGTACCCAGTGTCTTTCCTCTTGGCGAAGGGAAAAAAGACCCTGGTAGACGCTGGCCACGTGATCTGCTAAAATCTAGAAGATTTTTAATTAGCAATCCAAGATGAGGTCAATAAATATTTGATATTTGGATAAGTTTTATAGTTTAATTTATAATTTGCTTTTTGTATGATTTTTGTAAAGGAATCCAAGATAGTTAATTAGAAATCTGCTCGATTTTAGAAGATCACGTGACCAGCGTCTACCAGGGTCTTTTCGCCCCAAGAGGAAAGACCCTGGGTACGAGGTTGAAAGCAGTAAAACTAAGAAACCTAACAGGCTTTATTCTGCTTCATAATAAATAACATCAAAGGTATGAAATTTGTAATAAAGTGGTCCTTTTGTCAAAGAGGGATTTCAAATCTGGATTTTAAAGATGAGTGTAAAAGGTGAGTAGTGCTGTGTAGTACTCTAGCATATAAAGTGATTAAAATAATATATTTTTTCTCGAAAACTGCCGAGGATTCCTTACCAAAGTAAAACTGAAAAACAAGCCGACACCCCCAGCCACAGATAAAACTTGGTCAATTGAATCTTTGAAGTACGTAAAACACGCGGGACATTGGTCACAATAATTGTGAGCCTTCTTCTTACAACATGGAAGCTAGAAATATCAGAAAAATGTGATGAGTAAGAACGAAGCACAAAACGTTAACCAATGTAACGGCTAAAACTCAGTCTGTGACTAAATAAATAACATTCTTAGCCATCTTCTGAATGAATTTTACTGAGTACATATTTCAAATGTGGAGGGCTTCAAACAACTTGCAGAGTAATAAGAGGGCATTGGAATGTTTTCCAAAAAGTGTGTTACGACATTTACATCAATCATCATTGTGAAATAATTTGTTAATAATTTTTTTTCATTTGATCCTCAAATCAGTATTTTAAAATCTATATTTAAAACCAGAAGCTATAGGCATAGAAACAGACTGTCAGCTAATTCAAGTAATGTTGTCCATTCCAAAGTCAAAACTCAAAATCTACTTCTCAGTTCTGAGCACGAAAAGCACAATGGACGAGCATATTATGCATTGGAGTGTGAATGACGACATGGAAGTTGTGTTTTGCAAAATGCTACACTGTCACTGTCAATGTTAAGGAGTCTGATCAACTCCAAAAATGTTATTTTGTCACCGTTTTTGGAGTCGATTTAACTCCATGAAATTTACAGTGTACGAATAACAATATAGAAGCATTAAAAAGAGACATAAACACGTCTATTGTGCTCTCCACGCTTAGAGGTCGAGGTTTTGCCGTTGTGAGGTCTGGATATTCCGATAACGATGTTATTATAATTGTATTAGTGAGCTTAAGCAAGCGACGTTTTCGTCAACACGGACGCGTCACCCGAAAATTGGTACAACTAACTTTGGCGGCATCATAGCGCTCGTGTAAGGAAGCAATAAACTTTAAAAATCTTATGTTTTGTCATAATGTTTCTGGTCAAGCTATAAATAACCCTATTTGGGTTAACTTTCCTGGTTATTTTACAAGGGGCCCCTGGTTATTTATCCTAACATAGTCTGGTTAATTTAACCAGGATGTGCTGGTCGAAGATAACCAGATTCCTGGTTACATTAAGCAGACTATGGTAGGAAGTGAGATAAAATAACAAAGAAATCTAACCAGAATTATCAAGTTAACCCAAGTAGGCTACGATCTAGGTTAACCAGGAAAATTTTAACCAAGCTGTTTTTAGAATGTATATACTTGGTTACATGGGCTGAAGTCGCGATCTTTTCGGTTTCGAGTTTTACACGTGCCCTTCAAAAGATGAACCTGACAGTGTACACAATGACCCATTTTCAAAATAAAGTAAACTTATTGTCAACCATATCCAATCATTGCAGATATGCTCGTCAAGTTTTTGCGCTTGCAAACGTTAGAAGACATGATCAAGGATTAATACAAGCATGTTTATAGTCTACTACCGTTTTTCTCGGAAGATTGAGTTTTAGAAGGAGAACACTACCCCACTTCCACCAAAACCCCTCACCTTGATTTTGTCTCTTTGAAATAATATTTCCCGCATTCAAACAGTTTTGTGCAAAAATATAACCGTTTTTATCGTCTTTAACAGTGTGTTGAAGAATATACAACGATGGATTTATCACGCCTTACGTCATTTGACGTAGCGGGTGATTTCAATCATAACACACGGGGTGATTTGGTCATATCACACGGGGTTGATTTGGTCATATCACCCGTTGATCACCCGGGTGATATGATTCGCGTAAATCACGTGCGGCGAGCACGCAAACAAGATGGCCGACAAGTTTTCAAACTTCAAAGAAAGCTATTTTTTAAAATTATGAAATGTTATCGAAATAAAAATGACGAAATACTTGCGTTAATAAAAAAAACATCGCATTCACGAAGGTATGTGGCACGTTTTATATTCTCAACTTGGAGGCTTTGAATTTTTGGTTTAATATATCATTTACAGACCCTCCGCTCGGGGAATTCGGCGAAATATTAACCTCAGTGATGATTTTTCTCTTGGGGCTAAATATCATCCCATCGGGTAATATTTCGCCGAATCCCCCTCACTCAAGTTCTATAAATGATAAATGTAGCCGCATACTAAACTTACCTTAGTACATGGTGGATGAGACATAGTAGTGTTAGCCAACTCTGCCAGTACATGGAAACCACAACAGTTTCCGGCAACTTGCAGTTCATCTTTCGTTTGATTTCCCAAACGTTGCCAACTTGATCTTAATAATTGTTCTTGTTTCGCTGGAGAGACAGTCAGGGCGGCGATGGAAACAGATAGTAAGAATATGAACAAAAATGCCAGGGTTATCATGTACTTGTTCATTGTTAAGAAATATTACATTATTCAATAATTTGTTTGTTAGCTTTTGTTTTTCCTTGTACAAGCTACACATTACCAGACAATAACAAGTGAAAACAACTTTAGGTATTTCAGACATGTGTTGACAACTGTTGCTTATGCAGGAGGCATGTCAACAGAAACCTACCGCTATGCCTGCTCAGTTATGTACAGTACGATACAGACATGTTCTCAACCTCGTACCCAGGGTCTGCCCGCCCGATTTTCTAGACATGTTCTCTCATCAGTATAAAGTTTAATCAGAGACATTAAAGCGCCGGTCAAACGAGGATGAGAGTAGGTAGTCATGAATTTTTACAGGGAACATTTCAAGCCTTAGATTAACACAAGAAAGGTTTGTTCAGTACTTCAACTGTATAATAATGTGAACTTGAATATAGCATTAAGAACAGCTAACAGTAACGTGACTGCCAAATCTCATGCACTCCCACCTTCGTTTGAACCGGACTTACGCAATTTCATTACTTATGTGAAGTCGTGTAGGTTCGTGAAATAGAGTGTAACTTACAAGACAGAATTTCCTTCTATTTATGTCGAAATTCGTAAAAGTGGTCAGTGATGTTCTTTAGTTTAGATGGATATAGCCATATAGGTAATTGGAACCGTATGGTGTTAAAATTGCTAAAATTATTTACTGTAATGTCAGGGCGAAATATAAGCATATGCTCTCCTTGTATTTGGTTGTAAAGCATAGAACAACCACAGGCACAGTCTATATATTGTTGCTGAGCATAGCCATAATTAACTGGAATCGTGCATTTCGCTATGCTGCATGGGTAATTGTCAAGTACACACCCTGGAAATTTAGACATACTCCCAAAATCTAAAATTCGAGTAAAGACCCTGTCCACAAGGTGTTGTACCCTTGCTGGTGCTCAATTAAACCTACGGTGGTCACGTTAACGAAACGGTTACGTCATCGAAACAGTCACGAACCATCTCAGAAACAAAATTAAAATTTTAGTTAGAGCTTAATTCTAAACAGCAGAGATAAACTAAGATACATAATCTCTAACAGGATTGCAAGTTGAAACCTGCGAACAAGCTTTTGGGGGAAGATCGTGGGTGTGGCGTTTTTACAACCAAATCAAGCTTTACAGTATATTGAGGTGGATTCTGGTGGAATTTAAGCAATCTCATTAATGAAAAATAAAGTCCACCACAACGCAAGAGGATTTTACTCGCATGGTCGATGGTCGTAATATCAAAATCGCCTCAGATTCGTTTGTTCTCTGACGACCCATTTTTTAACTACCGTTTCTTGGTATTGTGTTGACACAATCACCGAGTGGTTTTTACCGTAGTGTACCAACTACGGACCACAAGCACGCTACGGTAAATTTGCCCTATCGTTATACTGTAAACGCGGCCTGATAGATTGTAAACCTATTACAGTATTTCCATTAAATTCTTACGGGCGAGAGAATTTTTTCTTTGCCTTCTAATTTTCACTACTGTACACTCATAATAATATGCAAACAGGTTTTACTTGCATTTATGTTGAGAAGGGAAAACTAGTAAGAAGATAAAGAAATCATTTATTTCTCGATATCTTTATTTGTACAAGAAATTGAGGAGTCGAGGTGGGCTGCGTAAAGCATGCCATTTGGCATTGTACAGGTTATAGATGAAAAGGATACAAAGAACAGAATAACCAGCTGATGTCTTACAGCACCAATAAGACCAAATATTGAAATGATTAACAGGAAAACACCACATGTGACTACTGCACCCAGTATTGGTAGGCTAGTTAACACAGCTGTGATCTTGGCGTAGACAGCAATAGATATCAACAGAATGGCAAGAAACTAAACAATCAAATTGTGAATAAATCAGGCTAACTGTATGGTAATGACTAATAGGGATGGATCAGAGGGACTTTACAAGATAACTCAGAATTCATTTCACTGCCAGTGTTAGGTTGACTACATAAATTAGATACAGGGATGTGTCGGATCTGGATACCAGTATCCGGTAAAATTTAGATATTTGCCAGATAGTACTGTAAGATATTTTGTTACATGCAACCATGAAACGGAAAAGTTTACTGGGTGTTTAAAAATTGTGAAACACGAACAATTACTGAGCGTGCACTGCATTACAACGAAAATTATGACATATGTTTTTCTGTCATGAATGGTGATGGGAACTCAGTGGCAGATACTAGGGGCCCGCAGGGGCAGGTCGGCCTCACCGGGCTAAAGTCCGGTAGGCCCCTTGCTTGTAAGGCCGTTTTGGGCCCCTTCTAATTGGCCTAAATGTTATTTAAATAAAATAGCTAGAAGCTCCAAATCATAAGCATGAAAAGCGGGAAGCACGCTTCAACCACTTTTCTCGCCTAGGGCCCCTGCAATCTTTTCTCCCTATAGTATTTTTATATTATTATATACACAAAAAGATACTAAGGGATGGCTTTGGCGGGCGCCAAAACGCACGACGAGATGAGCGGGCGTAATAAAAAATATAGTCATATACTAGAAAAATCGATGAGGCGACACTGCATGTTAGTATATTATAGGACCCGCGGCCCGCGCAATCCTCTGCCTATATAATTTAATTTGAAATCTGGGCAACTGGGCAAGTACAAGCAACGCAAAGAGAAAACATTGTGTATGAGACAGTTTTGATGGTGCCGCGTTTATGTCAGGACAGTGTACTGTAGGTAAGCTCGGATATATAGGTGAACTTGCTAAGAACCACATCCATGTCTGGTGCTATGCGCACACCCTTAACCATGTGCTCGGGGACACAACTTCGTCTTCTTCCACGCTTCCTGCAACGAGCCTTTTCATGTTGCTTAATTCAACAGCCTCGTTTTATCGCGGATCGCACAACGAATGAATGGGTGGCTCAATAACTATAACTTATGCTTCGTATACGCGATTTACTTACGTCACTGAATTCACAGCGCAAGAATAAAAACAGTCAAAGCACGGTAATACAATGCAAATCTATTCAAAATTAGACAAATTTAACGCTTTTTATTTGTTACAACTATACTTATTGGGATTTCTATGGTACCAAATAACACAAATCACACTCATATAACGTAATTGTCATATTAAATAATAACTATTTGATAAACTTAAGTAATATACCAAACAATATAATCATATATGTTTCAGTCTGTACTGTACATGTCACAACAAACGCATTTTATATATTTTTTTGACGGACACTAGGGGGTGAACTTTTTGCAATAGGCACTTCTTTAAATGTCATTGTCGATTTTTGTTGTTTTTGAAGCTTATACTATTGTTTAGCAGCGCAATTTCCTGCTGCACGTTAATATTTGAATGCATATTAAAATATTATGCTGAAAAACAATGGTAAATTTTTACATTGTCATTGGCGTTGTTAATTAAACCACCTTGCAATTCCAATCACAAATGTAAATAATCATGTGAATACTTTCTCTGAAATGTTGGTTTTCTATGCTTAGCATGTGATTTATTAAAAATTCACCATTAAAACAATATTTTGAAAACCTAAAGTTTTTTTACAAAATGTGTTCTCAGAATGCTGCAAATGCCATTTTCGGGATCCAAATTTTAAAAAAATTTTCAGTGACAAAATTACAACATATAAATTTACAATATTATTATTACACTAAATCCTAAATAATTTATATAATTTATGAGAACACATGTACAGTTATGTATTTGTACACGTACAAAAACAACAACAAAAGTAACAACAATGTCAATAACCTTGACAACAACAGCATGCAATGGCAACAACAACAGCAAAGCCCTGTTTACTATGTTCAATTTTTGGTACAGCAATTTGGTACCCAAATGTATCCATGCTCAACCTTTGTAAATACTTAGATCTGTATTCCGAGCAATGATAATAATGGTATGGGCCCCAGTGGTGACTAAATTACTTTGAATTTGTACTCGAGTAAAAGTAGAAGTAATTAACAATAAAACGACTTGAGTAAGAGTATTTAAAAGTACTGGAAGCAAAACGTACTTCAGGGGTTTCAGAATAAGCCGGCGGAGTTCCGCCGGCTACTTGAACTTTTACCGCCGGCTACTTTTCGTCTGGTCACAGGAAAAAAATTATATACAAAGGTACAAGCGAACCAACACGATGTTTGTTATGTTCCAATTGGAATTCAAGCAAAACATAACTTATTTTGGAAGATCAATAAGATCAATAATATATAGTACCAAACATAGCTTGCTTTCTAAGTTGGTGTCGAAGTGAATCTTCCTGGAAGATAACTCTGATTGACTCTGACAGTTCCTTGAGCATTGCCATTGGGGAATCCGAATTTGACAGTGAGCCAGAGAACCTTCAGAGCCACTTTGGTAAATGTTTTTGGCAAGTGACTAATTCTTTGGCAACGAATTAATTATGATAAAGTGATGAAGTGAAAAACTCTGGGCCGTAGCGAGGGGGGGGGGGTTTACCCCAACTTTTTTAGAATTAACATATTTGGAAAATCGAGTTGGTCATTCGGAAAATTACGGCAATAATAGTATAACAAAATTTTAGTTGTTAAACAGAGAAAATATAATATAATTGTATTGTCAGTATAAATTGATTTACGAAATCATGGCATTTACATGGATATTAACATTTAACAAATCGTAAATCGGTAAATATGCATGCATCCTTTATCATTTAAATAATATACCTTTAAAATACTGACAATTGATTAATTTTAAGCGGCTACATTATCCATGACAAACTGCAAAGAATCATATTACCCTTACTTTCCTGCAACTTCTCCATGCAATATATAGTTAATTAAATACGCCTTCGCCCATTTAGTACTACTAAATTGTAAACAAATTGTAAATTTCGACATACTAAAACGCTGTTTTCTGACCATCAGAATTCTGTTCTAAACATCCCCAAAGTCCAGGAAATGGCATTTCAGAGACTCTAAATTAAAAAATTTCCTCGGGCCTTCGGCCCTCGTTCTCAGTCCCTAATCAAAAAGAGCTTCCTACCGCACTGCATGCTACTCAGCTACTGTAATATGTCTGTGCGTAGAATATGCATATTTTTGTTTGTAAATTGCGTCTTCATTTTCCGAACAGCAAACACCTTCGTGATTAAACTACAAGTAGCACAATAAAAAGTACATTGTTACTTACAAGTATAAATGCAAATGACATCTAAATCTAACAAGTGAACAGTTGTACTTTATCTTCTCACTTCTGTATTCTATATTATTTGATTGTTAATTTGCGCACGAAAATTTTTTAAATTTCCATGCGAGGGCACGCCCCCCACTCCCCCTCCTTGCGCGTTTTTTTAATTATCAGTCACAGCCGGCTACTTTTTTGGTACAACCGCCTACTTCTAATCATTCTGAAACCCCTGGTACTTAAGTAGTATCCTTAAAAAATACTTGAAGTACAAAGTAAAAGTAAAAGTACTATTGTCTGTAGCATGTAGAGGGGGAGGGGAACTTCTCCAATGGATTAACATACAAAAGACACAAAACAACACACACATTACATGCGTGCACTGAATATACAATATTTCACAGCATGGTCTACTTTCCATACCCAGTTGAAGATATAAGAAATCCATTAAATAAATCTTTTTTATAAGTAAGTCATAAACGACAGATCCCAGACGCCTGTAGAGATCATATAACCTTTCCCGAAATTAAAATAAACCAGAAATAAATCACATTTAAAATTAAACAAAAGTTAGAAAGTAACGAAATACTTGAAAATGAAAATAACGAAGTAAAACGTTACTTCTTAAAATGACTTTGTTCCAAGTAAAAGTACTCCAGAAAAAGTTTACTTTGTTACATGTTCACTTCTCAAAAATAGTACTCAAGTACAGTAACAAAGTACATTTACTTCGTTACTTGACACCACTGTGGGCACCAAAATTAAGTGTATAGTGTAAACCGACCTATCATCAGACATTTAGCCATCACCTAGCAATTTAACTGTATTTATCAGCAATGACCCCACACACTGGATTTGTTCAGTTTAATCCCATGACTGGGTCCTACAGTATAGTATCTCCATGAAGACAAGGCCCCTAACATGTCAGATCACTATAGGAGATAGACTTGCCACAAGTCGACCTCGAACGAAACCCAAGCAGCGAGCGCAACCGACCGTCGCTCGCGCGAGGCTGACTTGTCATACTTGCAGCGCGCCAAATTTTACTGACCCAAAAATGGGTCAGTAACGCTGATCCATATATATTGCGAGCTTCATTTGTTGATGATCTCTTCAACCAATCAGAGAAGTGTGAAAGGGAAATGTTGATGTATTTATAAATAGACTTCAGGAAACAAGGAAATTGCTCAGTATTTCGTGTTCTGCCTTTCAACACCGTGTCTGTGGTTTCTATGTTTACAATTTTAATACAATTAGGCATTTTCTATGTTTACAATTTTAATACAATTAGGAATTTTCTATGTTTACAATTTTAATACAATTAGGCATTTTCTAAATGGACAATTCGGTTTCAAAGGTGATTGAAAAGGCACAGCAGTTTTCTGGCTATTTAGAGTTGAAAGAATATCAACGGCAGACCATTGAAGCCTATCTATCTGACAGAGATGTGTTCGTTTCGGAACAGACAGGATATGGGAAAAGCTTAACCTTTGAGTTAGCTCCACATGCTGTCCAGTACTTGTCGGAAAATAACAAGTCGCTGGTTCTCGTTGTCGTTCCGTTGGTCTCGCTTATGAAAGACCAAGTTAGCAATTTGGTCAGTCGTGGAATTCCTTCTTCCTATATTGAGAACGACTGCTTCGCAAAGCGAAGCGACAAATATGCCGCACATGCGATTAGATAATGTAGCTCGGATTACATTAATTGACGGCCTTTACAACTCGGCCCCCTGTTAATTGATAGCCAATAACTTATTCACATTTTTTGCGTTTCGCTCACACGCTTGCGTTTCGTTCAAGGTTGACTTGTGGGAAGTCTATATAGGGAGACTCATTATTGAAAAGGAGCCAGAAGCAAAATATTCCTTGGGCCACGTACAATGTCAATGACATCATAATTTTCAGTACTATACAGTATGTGCTAGTGCCCTTCTTCAGACTTGAAATGGTAGCTATTGAAAGAATGTACTCTCAATCTTTAATGACCTCTTAGGGCTGCATATTGTTAACTAACAATTGATAATGTCTGGCCTACAGTGTGTTTTATAAATATTTTGCTGTTGCAAGTCTTCCTCTTTCCCTTCTCTGTTTACACCCAGTTACAGTCTGAGGTGCAAAAAAAACAGTGGTAGGGCAAAAATACAGCCAGTTAAACATCCTTCACTATTAGATACTCATCTATTTCCTGTTCTCTGACACGTAGACAGCACCATGGATATATAAACAGTACATGTCAAACTTTAACTCAATTTTCTAGCCTGGGAATTTATATTTTTATATTCTTCATCACTGGTCCACATACGTATCATGCCACACTTCGGAAGAAACATAACTATTATTTAAAAGAACATTTATAAAAAATGAACATTAATACTTACAATGTAAATAACATTTAAAACTGCGAGCGAATTTTTTGAGCCATAATAAGCACATGTCCTGAGCCCAGAACGTTTTTCTATATACATATTGAGGTCTTTGGAGGTATCTGTTCGGTAATTATGAACTTCGTGTAAATATAAGCTACGTTATTAATATAAAAGCATTCGTCATTTTGTTTGTTTTGAGAGAATTTATATTTCTTCCCAATCTTGTCAAAATCAAATATTTATATAAACATTTTAATTTGAGCCCGCGATCACGCAGGTCGAAGCACGGCGTACTTCATGTAAAATTGTTGTTTGAAAATATACACGTTTCTGGAAGTTTATATTTGGCTAGTATCGATCGCCCCATGTAAGGTAATCCAGGAATCCAGAATCCGACTTTTAGTAGCTTTGCAATCCAGAATCCAGACAGTAGAATCCAGAATCCAAACATCGGAGCCGATCAGGAATCCAACTTCGTACCCAGGTTCTTACCTTCGCATGTAAGACCCTGGGTACGAGGTTGTCAGGAATCCTTATCCTGGGCCACTTTTCTAGAATACGAAATTCACAACCGATCTGGAATCCAGAATCCAAGTAGTGAAATCCGGAATCCAAAGAGTGGAATCCGAAATCCAAAGAGAGGAATCCAGAATCCAAGGAGTGGAATCCGGAATCCAAGGAGTGGAATCCGGAATCCAAGGAGTGCATGGATCAACCTCGTACCCAGGGCTTCTGCGCTTATTGCTCTCAGAAGCCCAGCAGGCAATCTCGTTCCCCGAGCCTGCGATCCTTGGGAAGGAAACGAAGGCTCTGGCACAGAATAGATAATAGGACCAGAAGTCTTACTCAAGCGGAAAAATGTCCCATCTTTTATACTGCGCATGCGCGAGCTAAACAAGTGCAATGCAGTGTTGACAATAGAAAATTATATTGGGAAGTTGTCATTTCTACAGTAAAAACAGCTTTTTTTCAAGTAGTGCGAATTGTGACTTCGATTTAT